GCCTGGGAGATGCTGGTGGGAGCTGACTGGGAGCACTGGGAGGACTGGAGGGACTGAGGAGGTGCGGCTCGGAGCGTCCTGGGGATGCTGACTGGGAGCACTGGGGGAATTGGGAGGACTGGGGACGTGCAGACTGGAGCGACCCAGCATGCTGCCGGTACTGGGAGGACTGGGGAGGTGCGTCTCGGAGCGCCCAGGGATGCTGCTGGGCGCTAACTGGGAGCTGTTACTGGGAACGCTGGGGGAACTGGGGAAGCCATAGCACGAAGCACCAGGGGATTCTGCTGGGTGCTGGTACTGGGAGCACTGGGGCAACTGGGGAAACGCACTGCAGAGCGTCACGGGATGCTGCTGGGCGCTAACTGGGAGCTGCTACTGGGAGCACTGGGAGAACTGGGAACGGCAGCACAGAGCGCTAGGGGATGCTGCTGGACGCTGACAGGGAGCTGGTACTGGGAGCACTGGGGGAACTGGGGAGATGCAGCACCAGGGGATGCTGCTGGGCTCTGACTGGGAGGTACCACAGAGCCAATACTGGGGGCACTGGGAGATCCCAGTGGTGGTAACTGGGAGGCGCAGTGGGGGATACCTGAGAGCTGTAACTGGGAGAACTGGAAGGTCCTGGGTAACAGCAACTGGGAACTGTGTGGAGATTTTAAGTGGGAGATACTGGGAGGTATTGTAGGGAGATACAGGGAAGATACAGGGAAGCGGTAACTGGGACAACTGGGAGATGGGAACTGCGTGGATGCCGTAACTGGGATTTGCTGGCAATGGGTGACTGGGAGCAGTGGGAATGCTGGAACTGTGGACTGTGTGGAGACTGGAACTGGGAGATACCCTGGGACTGGAACTGGGGGCTACTGGGGGCTGTGACTGGGAGATCTGACAGGACTGGAACTGGGGGAATGCAGCACTGGGAGCTGCTGGGCCACCATAACTGGGTGTACTGGGCCGTACTGGGTGTACTGGGCTGTACTGGGACGGCCCCGGCACACCCCAGCCACCACAGTCCCACCCGGGCTATTTTTAGCCCCGTGGCCACCGCAGGCGGCTCCAGGGCTATTTATACCCCGGGGGGGG